AACGTTGAGATTTATAAGGGCACTGGGTGACCAATAAGATCTGAATTGGCTTGTAATAGGGTAGGCACTATTTTGACTTAAAACTTTCGTGACTGCAGGAATTTATACTCTTGGTTCTTTCGGTAAAGTCATGTAGATAGAAAACAAAACATCTAAAAAAATTATAACTAAAAGTAACGTTTTTTTTTAAAAATAAAAATAGCACAAAAAACCCCACGACGTTTCGATCGCAACACAAGCGATCTTCATCATCATGGGGCCTCCTTTGCCAGTACCAAAATATTAGAATAGGTTTTTCTACTTTTATCTGAAAACAATGCAATGTTTGCATTTTTACCACAAGTATTGCGGTTAATGCAGACATGATTCCTTGTAAAAGGTCTTCATCAGGCGGAGAGAAGACTGCTTGTGTTGCGATCGAAACGTCGTGGGGTTATTTTTGTAATTTTGCTATTTTAATTTATTTATATTTATTTTATTTTATAATTCTTATTTTCTTTTTCAATTTTTTTTGTTTTCTATTTACGTGACTTTACCGAAAGAACCAAGAATATAAGGTAGGTACTGACAGGTATAATACTGTCTGTCCGATCTCAACTGGTTGATGTCAGTTACTCTGCCTATGCTGTGTCGCTTAATATTTGACATACTGTCCATCTCATTTGTTCCATTGATATTGTCCCTGTATGTCTGCTGGACTTCTTTTGCACCGTACGTAGCCAACCGTGCTAATCGAATGTATTGTCCCGTCAGTGTTGTTCTCATTTGTGTTGTCTTTCTAATGTGTAATGTATTTCACGCACGTACTGTCTTGTTTGCACTTTCTTGTCCAATCCAATTATTAATCTAAGGCAGAAAACTATTTTTTAAGAATGCGCATCAATGAATATTAATGACGATGCTCGTACGTCATTTGACGCGTGTACCATAGGCATAGGAATCAATCTTCATCGATGGATCATTAGATCCCCAATATTTTAAACTTGGATGAAAATCTTGGATGTGACCAGATAACAATCGAAATGTATGCACGGACAATGTAAGGACCTACTTACTTTACTGCATATTTCAGGCTCATTACCCTGAAGGTGAGTTTTTATTGCATATTTTCACGATCCACCAACCTGACCTCCACATCGCTAGACTATAAGTACACGTGAAAGCACCTGAGAAATACATATTTTTTACAGAGATGTATTGTTAATGGCAGCTACAAAGCATGCGTGCTTCATGTGCAAGTGTGCATGTAATAGGGCTTGTCAATGCTGGTGTCTCTGATCCAAATGTCGTCGAGCAGTGCTCATCTCCATCATGAAACATAACCAAACAATTGCTCCGCTGCATTGGGAGTGGTGCGCAATCACGTATAATCATACAAACGCAACATATTCATTCATAACACTGCCCTTTAAAGGACACACATACTGAAATATTAAATAGTTGACATTCTGTCAATGGCCCTTCTTATCTCAGGTATGAAGAAGGGCCATTTCCCAATTCGTTGCATTTATATATATACAGCACAAGCTCTGTTATCTGGCACTTTACCATCCGGAATGCTCTCATTAACCGGCATCTGTCACAGGCGGCAGTAGAAATCTTCCTTCACGTATCCGGAAACATTCCGACGGACATCCGGCATCTTGCCATGCGCTCCACATAGATCTGTTGGTTACAGAAGTTTCAGGATTTTGATGGTGATTCTGAGTGGTGGGTCTGATTCTGATGGTGATTCTGAGTGGTGGTTCTGATTCTGATGGTGATTCTGAGTGGTGGTTCTGATTTTGATGGTGATTCTGAGTGGTGGGTCTGATTCTGATGGTGATTCTGAGTGGTGGGTCTGATTCTGATGGTGATTCTGAGTGGTGGTTTTGATTCTGATGGTAATTCTGAGTGGTGGGTCTGATTCTGATGGTGATTCTGAGTGGTGGTTCTGATTCTGATGGTGATTCTGAGTGGTGGGTCTGATTTTGATGGTGATTCTGAATGGTGGTTATGATTCAGATGGTGATTCTGAGTGGTGGTGCTTACGGAAGTCATTACATACTATACTATAAACGGGCCCCACTGGTTCTCTACAACTGAGTGGTTGGTATCTCTGTTTAAGAGTTTATTATTTATGATATCATCGTTAAAATATAGACTTATTTTATTTCTTGAAAAGTATTATGTACTTGGAAAATTCAGTGAACAATAAGTATAACTCTCACATTGATTAACTGGCACTATCCATTCCCCATGGATGCCGGATAACAGAGCTTTTTGCTGTCTGTAGTTTTCCTTTAAGGGCAGCGTTATTGACGAATGTTTTGAGCTTTTCTCATCCCCCATTGGCAGCTCTGACCCATTGGTGGAAATTCAGCATTCCTATGGTGTGGCCGTTCCATCACATAGTACAGCCACTGTTTACTTCCGACAATGTGGTACTCATTTTATTGGCCCTGGAGGGATGCTGTGCCGAGTCGACCCCCCCGACCGCGACCTTCCGATAGCGAGCCGAGTGCTCTAACCGCAGCACCACCCGGAGATGACCACACACCAACTTTTTATCAAAGGATTCCAATCCATCTCACCTCATCTACGACTCGGGCGTGGTGTGCGCAGTTATGGTGAGGCAAAGGTACGAGCTTAATAAATACCGACACCGTAGGGCATCACGTGTCATGAGATGTGGCGTCTGTTTTGTTTGTTGCGCTGCGATTGTGAGCGTGTATTATGTTTGGATCTTGTTGCAGCGCGCTCATCACAGAGCAAACGTGCCTCACAAAGCCGCGGCCATGTGTGGTTACCGCAAACCCCTGCTTTTATTTTCTCTCCACTATATTCCAAGTCACTCCTAAGCTTGGCAATGTGCTGTAGTCACGACACATCTCACAGCCGCGGGCTTTACTTTCCTAGGAAAATAAAATAAGACCTTTAAATAATAATCGTAAAACATTTTCCGAGTCCCTTTTGGTAAGGGTAGCGTTTCCATCTTTCGCCATATTCGAGACATCGAAGCAGGAGGATTTGTGAACAGGGTTGTGCCTTTCAGATTTTTTTTTGCCAGGAATTTCGATCGCCAGTCAACTCTCCGGACTCGGTCTGAAGAACTGACGACGTTTGGCTGCTGTGCATAGAAAATGCGCGCTTGCAAGCGGGGATTTTTAGAAGCACTTTTTCAACGTGCCAAAAATCTTAAAAATATTTCACCTGTCACGTGTATTTTCATGAAAGCATTGGTAACGTTTTATCCCACACAATATCGATTGTCACTCATCTTTGTTGACAACCGTGAGCCCTTGATGGATATTCCACATTTCCACGGAGAGGACCAGTTCCGCCGTGGTGGCGTGGCCCAGCGGTGGTGCGTTCGCCGAGTGTTGGTTAGAATCTGGCAGGCCACCCTGGTTATTACTTCGGGTGTGTATTAACCATAACACCGCGCCGTCTGCTTCACAGTAAACGTTAAAGACCCCCTGACGCCATTCAAAACAAGGAGCCCATAGTGTGCTAGCATCACGGTTCAACTTGCTAAAAATCTGAAAAATTGCACAGAAAATTATTTCATTCAGGTTACACATAGCAATAATCGCCACCTACTGTGAATAACTGCAGGCTGTGTCTTCAAACAGCACCTTGGTGATAGCCTTGTGCTATAAGAATAGCACGGATACCAAATTTTACTCAGTTATTATCATTATTTTGACCACAGGAGAGTCAAAAGCAGGGATGATGACTGAATGGGATTAAATCCATGAGGTGAGCACTCTAACCACGGTACCACTCGGTCGGATTTAGTTATGGCACATGTAAAGCTATTGCCGTTTGTCTGTATTGGTCCATAGAGCTGATGAGCCCTGCGTTCCTCAATCCTTGGCTCTTACAACTTCTAAATGCTTGCACAAGCTATTACATCCCCTGCCATGTGGTCTCAGTATGGCCTCTTGCTCGCTAAGTCTGCTGGAGGCTACACTTCACAATGTAGCCCTTTGCTCAATATCTCCTGGCATCAAAATATTTACGCGAGATCTGTTTTGTTTGCGTTTGTCACAACACATGCCTCGACCATTCTCTTCCCATTATTTTTTTTTGTATTTTCGACCGATTTTATTTAATCTAACACACCTTGGAATTGAGCCCGCAATTTCTTAGCTCTGCGATAATGCATTTTGAAAAGGGCTTGAACGTTTCACGTGCATTGTCTTGCTTCCAATTATTTATATTCAGGTTTGATTCGTGTGGCGTTTAGTTACCAACGTGGAGCGGGGTATGTTAAAACTGGCTGCTGATGACCGTGTGAGAACAAAAGGGTCGAACCACTGGGATCCTGGGTCAGGAATCTGGGTCGCCACCTGTGATTGAACTTGATTCGCATGCGGAGTGAGTTCACGGTCTAATTTTCCCAGTGATGACAGCGCTGAAGAACGTACACTATTAGCTGGTTATAAGCACACCCCATGAGAGTACGGCCAAGTGTGCTTATACGCAACGTGCACTTGTCTCAGAAGTGATTGCTTCAGTGATGTGTGTGTTCCTTTTACCAGAACTATTCAAAGTCGGAAGTGATGTGCTGCTCATTTGAGAATTGAGGTCGTAGTGGTCTCCCATTTACAGCCCTGAGCCAGTTGGAGAAATTCCACATTTCTATGGCAAAGGCCGAGTCTCTTCCTATGACAGCCATTGGTGATTTATTTACAAAATTGTACCGATTTTTCCAAACCCAGACAGATTATGAGTGAACCTACAAACCAGGATTCGAATTGCGAATCATACCCTCTACTGCTAAACCACCTGGCCCGGGTTATATAAGGCATGCTTATATATGTTATCTTCAACTCTATATACATTTATATCAGTTTACCTTGTCAATTAAATCCACTCAGGTTCCCATGCCTATCCCAGCCCAGCGAATCCTCTGCAAAGTGCACAACGTTCCCAACCGACACACTTACCCCTTGCCCCGTGCGTGCCTACGTCTCCCCCCCCCCCCCCCCCCCACGTGCCTGCCCCCCCTGCAGGCGACAAGGCTTGGCCCGGGGTCCCGGCTCAAGGCCCCACGCTGGTCCCAGCCCCGGGCGGTTCAGCCCCGGCGTCTCGCCCGAAACAGCGAATCTCGTTCCGTGACGCCCCTGTGCAACTCAGCGGGGGTTGGGGGGGAGGCCGCAAGCACGGCAAGCCCCTGTAGCCTCCCCAACGCAAACCCGCACACACTTCACGCGCATCGTTGGTTGGAGGGGACGCGTTCACTGCAGTGACTTCGCCATCAATCAGTCTTTATGTTACGTGCCAATATCGCCCTCAATAAAGTAGGCATCGGTGCAGAACGAGAACGGTACGGGGGGGGGGGGGGCACAGAGCAATGGGAATGAAAAAAGTTAAATTCAACCGTGCGCAAAATAAAGTGCAACCGTGCGAAACGAATAGCATAAGAAAGGTTATTTGAAAATACTAAATAAATAATAAGTAACGTAAGTTTTTTTTACATTTTACATATGATGAGAAGGCAAATCTGAGTAGATGCATCCTGCACAGACTACGGAATTGAGAGAAACCCGGCGCATTTCGGATGTCCTGTGGCAGGCAAGCATGGTGTTCCAGAGTTTTGGGGCTACGCTCGAGAAGGCGAATCCGCCCCAAACGGCTCGTCCCACAGAGGTTCAGTAGAATAGAGAGGTGCCCAGGTGGATCAAGGGGGGACGGGGGACTGATCCCGTTTGAGAGCACTTGAGCCAGCACCGCTGAGATCATGGGTTTTAAAACGTGGGTGCCAGCCACACGCGTCTACGCTGCGCTGGGTTTTCAGGCGTAGCCAGTCGATGGTTTCAACAGCTTCATGAATAATGTAATTAAAATGTAACATTAAAGAATAACAAATATTTTATGACAACAAAAAAAAGACATTACATTTTGAGGTGGGGTTCACTTCAATTGTCACAATCCAGGTCTGGGAACTGACATTTTTGGTTTGATTACTGTGCATTGGACACTCTGATGAGAATGTAAGGAGGTGCATGACACGTCTCAGCCCACTGAAGCACGCGGCCTAACCGGTGGTTCTATGATAGAATCGGCCACCACTCCTTCCCAGCTCCAGTTGATGCACTGCTCACTGCTCGAGATGGGAATGTAAATGTCTTTATCTCATGACATTTAAAACAAAAATACATCAAGGTCAGCAAAAACTAGAGAGGTTTTGTTTAAACAGGGTGAGATTTTATGATTGTAAAGCTTTATTGTGAAGTGCCAGGTGTCTGAATGAGGAGTAATGTTTTGTGCTACTCTACAGGTCAGAGTGTTGAACCTTAGACCATCTACTCGAAAAATTACATCTGACCTCTCAGCGACATGCAGATGATGTTTGAAATTTCACGGCAGGCTAAGGGTAGCTACTTTGAATTTCAGGATAGAACAAGGCAGGAGAACATACGTGTATATTATGCATACCTTTTCGATTTACGCATTTCACAATTTGCACTATTCGCATTCCTGCATTTCCCATAAATATGCTAAATTCCTCTTCAAATGCAAATTCTTTTGTCAAGACTCTCTTCCTCCTCCCTCACAGCTTACATAGACACTCCAAGCCTAAGGCGTGTCATTTAGACTGTCTTATCGACAGACATGTTCTTCACCTGAGGACGGCTGCTTGCGTTGTGGCCGAAACGTCGTGAGAATTATTTTATTATGTTTTATTTTTATTATTGTATTACTTCCCTTCTACGTGACTTTACCGAAAGAACCAAGAAGATTATGCATACCTGTCAACCCCTTATCAGTGCCTACCTTATTGCAGACCAATTCAGACCTTGTTGGTCACCCCGTGCCCTTAGAAATCTCAAAGTTCATCCTACAAAGTCCCATCACAAGGGAGATACACAAACAAATATATAACACATTTTGTTGCCCGTATTGAAACGGCTGTATGCCGTGTGGAACTGAAAACTCAATTTCCCTGCACAAGAATCCGGGTAAACCGTATGGGTTGACAGCTATGAGGATGGTGGAAGACATGTTTGTGTCACGGGAATTGGAGTGGCACGATGATGAAGACCTAAAGCCTTGTTGCGATCTCCTGTAAGAGCAGACTTTCAGGGTTACTTGTCGGCTGTGCAACACTGGCAGGATCTGGCAGAAGGAAGGAGGCAAATAATCGGTGTGGTGACATCAGTGACATCTCCGTCAGTGCATACAATGTGTCACATTCTGTGATGTCAACAGTGACTCCTACGTGTAGACTGGTCCCCGCCTTATCAATGTGGAAATGTCATGACTACGTCTGTCGTGCCACTGGATGAGTACAGCACTCACTGGAGCACGGAGACACTTAGATTATTTTTGTTTTATTATTGAAATTGCTCACTAACTCGTCATACATATGACTACTCACGTGTGTTGTGTTACAGGGTTATAGAATGATTCATTTCCTTCCAACTGGCTCAGCTGGTTATTGCATGAACCGCTAACATACATTCTGGCTCGCTTATATACGAATTTATATCGTTTTACATTTCAGAATGTTCTGTAATTCGATTAAATAAATGGCAAAATAAATTATTTCAATGAATGCAGTTGGTTTTTTTACACGTATCAATGTGTCTTAATTTGACTGAGAAATGTCAGTTTTATAGCTTGTATGCGTTGACAGATTGAGTTTCATGTTGTGCTATTTGTAATGCGTCTAATTGTCAGATATAATAATATGTCAGGCAGTGTAAAATATCCACATGTAATATATGCACACGTAAACAATTCCGTATGTGACATATAAACTTCTGTTAGTTGACTTTGGGTGAGGCCCGTTGAGCTAAGAAGCAAGGTTTTGTCAATTGCACCCCAGCCAAAGCAGCTGATACGGTATCAGGAAAGTTGAATGAGGTTGGAGGGTTTACAGACGCTGCGTAGAATACATTTCACAAACAACGAATAAATAATAAAAGAATAAACAACCAGAGCTATTTACAATGGAAATCTAGTAAAGCAATTCAAATCAACATTTCCACAGGAAACTCGCATGTCGCATATAAAATAGAACTTTTAACAGCCATCGAATTACAATTGCATATCGTATTTTAAAAATGTCTTGCCAAAAATGGCATTTTAAAAATGGCATTTGATACGTGCAAAAACTACACAAGATAGTCATCACCAGCTTTGCAGCGGAATGCGAGGCCGTCGACATGCGCATCAGCACCTCCACGACCGTGGCTGTGGAGCGGACCGGAGTGGCAGAGCCCCTCTGGATTAATGGGGGAGCAGTAGAGGAGGAGGTCGAAGACTCCCGGTTCCTCGGGGTGGATTTCTCGAAGCCACGGATCGGAGTGGCGACCGCAGCGATGCGGACGATGAAGCGGTCGGTGGTCTCAAGATGGGAGCTGAGCCCTCAGGCAAAGCTCTCGGACTATCGTTCAATACTCGTCCCGATCCTGACCTACGGCCACGAAACATGGATCCTAGTGGAAAGGACACGCTCAAAGGTGCAGGCAACATAATAGTCATGAACAGCTTTGCAGCGGAATGCGAGGCAGGGCTCTCCACGATGGGGTGAGAAGCACGGCTATCCGCCAGAGACTAAATGTGCAGTCGGCACTATTGCGCGTGGAGCGAAGCCAGCTACGGTGGATGGGTCATCTGTTAAGGATGCCGGAAGAAAGACTCCCCCCATGGAGACGTTCAAAGGATGTCCTCCAGGCAAAAGACCCAGAGGCCGACCGCGATCGCATTGGAAAGACCACGTGGTGCGCTTGGCCGAGGAGAGACCGGCGATCCGGGAGCCACAGCCGAGGACAAGGCATCGACGATGTCTTGGTGGAGCCGCTGCCTCCGTGACCCAATTCGATTAGGAAAAGCGAGCCACTATTGATTGTCATAAACACAATTCGGCTTATACAAATATATCTAAATAACGGCCTGATGCTTTTGAGATTCGAGCAGTTGACTCACAGGTTTAGGGTTGACTCAACCCATCATCTTTCCAGGGTTGATAGAATTAGTTGTGCTTTGTTGCAAACATGTTAACTAGATGCCAAAATGGCATAATGTCCTGCGATGGATAAACATCAACGTTACTAAAAATGTGGATCTCCCATTGTAAATGAAGATTATTGCAGCCATCGCAGCAGTCAAGCTATGCAGATGTAATTTAAATTTGCAACTCTGTGTCAATCCACTGCTAGATGAAGGCCTCCCTATGCTCTGTGGGTTGTTTGACCATACTTCACCTCGCCTGTCAATGCAAATTATCTTCAGATTATCTTAGCCACGGACGGGAATCAGACTCAGTCTTTGAAAAAGAAAATCATTTGGTGGAAACATTCTCTTTATATAAAAGGTACCATGTCCAATGATGAGCATTGAATATTGTATATGATCATCAAGATTTCAGAAGATGATTATGATATGATGGTTGTCACCTGGAGGGCTGATAAAGCGATCACTGTCAGAAGCGGTTGTCATATAGTGAGAATGGTCCCTGTCATGCGAATATGGAATTGACGTAATTGGCTAAGGGCACTGACCTGGGGCATGCATTGTACGCGATTGTCAGTTTATAGCACTCAAAGTCACTGCAGTCGTCCACAAACCGGTGGTCAGTCCCCTCCGTATCGCTCTTCTATCGCTACTACGAGCAGCCTGGCTCCTGTCCCCGTGAACTTCACTCATTAAGTCCCCCAGCCATAGTAATAGGTTTTTACCCTTTCAACTGGAACAAAAACTGACACCTTTATATAAGGCATCATGTTTGCAATAATCACAACACAAGCAGCCAAAATGCATTTTGTGTAAATGCTTACCCCGAGCTCTCAATACTCTGATAGTGCGCTGTCTTTGAGTAGCACGCCTTTTGACGTCATCTGGTCCAACACCAATGGAGACTAGGCTCTAAGAAAAGCCGTCTCGGGTGTGGACCAATCAATTTCAAGGACAGTGCATATCCTTATCATCATCAGAGTTGTTTCTTTTTGTTTGCATTTTGACTGCTTGTGTTGTGGTTATTGCAAACATGATGGCTTGTATAAAGGTGTCAGTTTTTGTACCATTTGAAATGGTAAAAACCTATTACTATATTTTGCCACTGGTAAAGGAGAGGTCTCATAGTGTAAATCCCCCAGCCATGTCGAGGGCTTCGGTCTTCCCGACTCAGTCGTCTCATCTACGTCGCCGGGTTCAACCACCACCACCACCACACGGCACATCACAACGAAGACGTCGCTGCTTCTTCCTTCCCACTGCTCGACCTTGCATTTCCCATCCACCGGCTCTTTCCCAAGGGTGCCGCGGTGGTGAGAATGTTAACTGCCTCGCCTGGTGTTCAGGAGGTCGTGGGTTCGATCGCGACCCTGGCATCTGCTGTATATTTGGAGTTTTCATGTGTCTCTCTCTCCCAATGGTTGTGTGGATTTTTCTCCGGTCCTCTGGTTTGTCCCATCACATTTAGAAACGTACTTTTAGAGTATTTGGCTGCAATAAATGCCCACATGATAAGCCACTTCGTTGAGCTATTATTTGTGGCCAGGTCGCTTCTGAAAAAGAGCTATGAAGCTCAGGGGGCCTTACCTGGTAAAATAAAAATTGTTTCGTAGTTTTAGTTGAATTTCTTGAAAATAACCTTGCTCAATGGATAACCGTGTTTCCTCTAATCTAATACAACTTTAACGGTGCTGATTGTTGCTGGCCCCTTGTCATTTTGGGCCTGTGCTCATCAACTATGACTTAAAAAAATTAACTGCTGATGTAGTGTCAGTGCTGAAACCAGACATGTGCTGCTTCACGTAAAACTGGCGCTCATACAAATGGATGGTTATGACTGAGTGATCTAAATTCGAATAACGTTCGTGAAGGGCCAGCAAACTGAAATTTGGCACAACTATAGTCGCATGTATATGTATACACGTAATTATAAAGATTCAAAAATCTAAATGTTTAAATTGTGGTGAACATTTTAAAATTATGGCCCACAAAAAATGATTGCCAGGAGGTTGATTGTTTTCACTTAGGCTCAACCGAACCCTCTGAAGTGCGTGAGGTCTCGTGCTAAACGCTTAAAGATACTGAATCGGATCTCCTTCGTCAGAGAAAAGTCGTTTGCTTCTCGTTGAGTGTGGTGCTCCCGCTGACACAGAGAAAACAGCTTCAAGTGCATTTAGCTTAAACAAAGTGAGAACTCGGGAGACCAGAAGAGTCTCATTTGCAAGAGTGACCCAAGACATGACATTCGTCTACCGGCAGCATCATCCCACGTTGAGTAATTTGCGGAGGGAATGTTCGAATGTGACTGCGGCACACAATGGCCAGCGGCTATTACACAGCGGCAGCAATAACCGGGGAGGCCGTTGAATTAGAACCGTGAACCTCTGCAACGACGAGTCGCGATCGCGTTACCACTCGGGCCACATCATCGCCCCAAACAAAACCTGCCGCCCGGAACTCCTCACTGTGGCATTCAAAAAGACATTCGTGCTCATACGAATATGCTGATTCGCGTAGTTGATGTGTTCATGTTGAACTTCTTTAGCACCGATCAATGGACATTGGTGGGATTTGCACATTCCTATGGTGAAGGTCTTAAGAAAATACCCTCGAGGTATGTGTAGTGAAAGCTTTAAACTTTAAATACTATATTAAAAGTCTTCAAGGTCTCTAAAGGGCAGGCTATGATGCTGTATAACGGCTTCTAAATGTCTCGGGGTGAAATATATTTCCCCATCTTATAAACTGTGGAAATGCTAGCGGCCCAAGTTAAAGTCACCCCAGCCACTGTTAACGAGGGGATTCATTTCGACAGCTTTCGGGAGCAGGTTTTAATCAACGTGGCCCACGTGTATTGGTGTGTGGCAGCGGTGTCCAGCTGTTCCACACTTGTGCACTGTGTAACACATGGGGGAGCGGTGGTGCAGTGGTTGGTGCGCCGCGCGACGAAACCGACAACCCGAGTTTGTCCCATTCCCGCTCACAACCACTAACAGTGGCGAAAATATGAACCGGTCCTGGGCCTCCTTACATGAGCACCTTGTGTTTGAACGTGTGTAGTATGTTAAACTTACGTTGTACCGTACGTAGCCAACCGTGGTTATAATCGGAGGTGTGGGGGAAGGGCAAAAAAATAAACACAAAATCATATGAAACACAACAAGCATATGAAACACAAAAAGCATTTAAACAACAGCATTGGGGAGACAAAGGCGGACGGGCGTTATGTTTTCCACCCCCCTCGTGTGCCTTAATAAGTGCGCGATAGCAACACTTGCCCCAACAGTCTTTTAAAGTCTATGCGGATGGGGTTCTCTGTCTTTGCGTGGCACTGCATTCCATGCGTATGTGTGTGTGCCTGTGCGTGACTTCAAATGGAGGTTCAGTGATCGATGCAAAGCGTTACGAAGTGCAGCAAAATAAAAAAAGAATACAAATTCTCATTCCAACATTTTTTTTCGCTCAAAATTGCAATGGGGCATATTGTTCAGCTGCATTGACGGTGCAAAGTCACGAGTGGAAATTCCACGTTTCCATGGTGGTTTTCAGTTGTTCTCGAAGACGACT